AGGTCATTCCCTCATATTTCATCTACTGAAATATTTTAGAACAATTGCATAAGGTACCTCTTCTTAAGAAACAAAGTGGATCTTCTGTCTGCCATGGGCTTCGGCACAAGAATTCTGCCACCCAGACTGGCATTTCTGAATCCAAACCAGTAAATGAATTGGGCCAATATGCAATACAGATTGCTTCACCTACCTTTACAGCAAAATACGACTTGTTTAACTAAAACCAGCAACTCTATATGGTCACTCAGAAGCAGCAGTGGGCAAACCTGAGCTGCTGTTTGGTAATGATTCAAAAAAAGTTATTCTGTGAAATAAGTGCTTGACTTTATCCATTTGAAGATGTTCTATCAGGATGTCTGTGTTACAGAATAACATTGGATGAGCTTTTATTGGCAGAACTAACAACTTGAAGTAAAAATTCTAAGTTGAATGAAAAAAATAATTCTGGGGAGTTTTTCTGGTGGTGGCTTATAAATTTTAACAGCAAGACAACTAAGGACCCTTCCAAGTTTGTTCAACACTGCTGAACAAGATACACATCTGGGTTGTAGTTTGACCAAAATACTTAAGTTACTCTGAAAAGAATAACAGCTTGGACTGTAAAAAAACCTCAAGAGAGCCGGGGATTCCTGTGCCTTCATGATTATCAAAGAGGCTGCCCACAAGAAGAATGGGTGCAAAACAAAAGCCATTTATAGCAACATCTATAAATGTAGGGTTTCATTAAATTAGCAACCAGGCTGTTAGAGTAAGATAAGAGGGGAAATTCATCCTTCTGGATCAGAGAGGACAAGCCATGACACAGCAGAGGAGGAAGTGTGGCCAGCAATGTTTTCAAGAAGCCTTTGACACAATAACTCATGGAAGAAACTTAGTGATCAGTACTAGCATCATCCATTAATGTTAAAATAACTTTGAAAGGACTAGTAAAAAGATACTGTCACAGGATGAAAACAGTCTGAGAGGCAGAGTAGGAACAGACACTTTAACATGGAAGAAAGTTAATGGGAAGTTATCCTGCTAGAATTGGTGTTGCCCGATGTTAAACATATCAGTAGACAAATGTTCCATTAGCTTGGCAAAATGTGTAGAAAACGAACTAATTGGGTTAATAAAGACTTAAGATTGTGAAGATTTAACAGATCAAGGTGGATGAGCAGAATGATTTCATATGAAATTCAGCACTGACAAATTCAAGAAGTACGTTTCAAGGAGTCACCCAACACATTGCTTGGCTCACGGTAGCTTGAACTGGCCCACTATGGGCAGACCAAAGAGTACAATAGTCCACTGCTATGCAGTAACATACAGAATAAACTAAATGATGTTGCATAAACATAAATATTTATGTAACACTAACATATTTTTAACTGAAACATTGTCCTCAGTCCTGGTCATCAATTCAGTGTTAACTTTTGAATGAGAAGAGCCTAAAGTTTTGTCTGTAATCACTATACTAGCAAATGTTGGTTAAACTATTTTCTTACACAGCAGTTACAAACAGGCTATTAGAATACTCAGCAATAACTCTGCAGGTTTCACATCATCAGATACCTTTAAGTTACTGGACTAGTAATTTACAGTACTGTGCAGAAGCTGTCACTAATATTTGTACCATTTATAAGTGAAGTAGAAAGGCCTAATATTTATTCCAAGTTAATGTTGTGTGTCATACTATTGCTGAACATCAGAGCTTTATACTGACACCCAAACCTTCATACCAGTGGCATAGGAGAAATATGACTGGCAATAGTGGAAGATTATTTAAAGCTCGTGTCACTTTTGCTCCATTCCAGAAGAGCTTAAATGGTATGTAATTAATATGCTTATGTATTCTTAAATATCATCATAATTAGAAGGAGTGACTAGAATATCACAGCAGTACCTATGTTAGCTGTTCCTATTTTATAGTACTCTGACATACATGTTATGAACACTTAACTACAACATAACCTTTGGATACTTTATTGAAACTTTGTATATATGATTGTTTCAAATACCATCAGGAAAAAGAATAATTTAGGTCTTTGCATTGCTTTAATCACAGCATTTTAGATTAAGAGCTGTTCAGTACGGACTTCACGGACAATGTATTACAGTATTCCACAGTGACCTACTAAAAGTCAAGTTCATGACAAATGGAGAGGTAGGTCTTCAACAGGGATTTAAGAATGAATAATGAGAACACATCTAAATAACACATGAACTCACATAAATACTGTGGTATTAAAAGACAAAGCAAAAATGTAATAAAAGGTGAAGTCCATTTATGTATATATAGCTAAAGTTCTGTGCTAATATGTTAGGCAGCTTCATTAATGTCAGCAAAAAAGCATGACCAAGCTGGATCACAATTGATGCCACCTGTTAAAAGCAGAAGAAAAATAGAAGTGCTTCAGAAGCTCAATGACTGTGCTGGCACAGAAAAAACAGGGGTGAATTTAGAAGGTTTCCAGCCATCTTAGAACTGGAACAGTCTTTGGACAGACATGAACAACCTACATAGCTTTAAAATGAAAGCTGATAATTTGATGATGGAATTATGTAACGCTGTGGAATGCGACAGCAAGGGCAATTACTGACCCCCAAGGAAGGCTTCGTATAGTCTGTTCTACCAGAACATTTGTTTCTTGTGTGTAAAGTTCATTAAAAAAAACAGCCCAAAAGATCAGCATTGTCTATTACTGCATTTTTTCAAAACAAAAATATCTCATCTCTTAAAAAAATTGTTAAGAATTCAGGAGCTTTGTGAAGTGTATACCAATTTCACTACTGGTTCTTAATTCTTCTTGTGGGTAACAAAGCAATTCAGAATAGAGAGTATTTAAATAATCTTCTCTACTCTGTTTGCACTGGCTTACCTGTATTTCTCTGCCCTTTATCTTTGTTATATCGTATTTGAAACTTTCAGGGGCAGGAATCATATATCGCTAAACCCCTAATGTATTCTCAAGTGCTGCAAAATAATACACGAATAGTATCACAGTGACTGCATTTGTAGACAAAGCATCATCTCTCATCCAATTATCCCAATTCTTTTTATTGCTTTTTCTGCTATTTCTTCTGAACCTTCTATAATTTGTGGGAATTCAAACTGCAGGCAAGTATGTTGATAACCACTGCAGCCACATACTTTTCATATGAAATCTATTCATTCATACATACATTCAACAACTGTAGGACCTCACAGCATGATCCTTACAGTCTGTCATTCATATACCTTTTTTACTACACATTTCTAGTTTTGTGTAATCAGAGTAGTCTCCTCCATTGCGAAACCCATGAAATTTCACACAATCTGGAAAACCAGTCTGACTTCCTGAATCATCAAGGAATTACTAAGTGTGCTAATTTCTGTTTAGCTCAGTAATTTCTTTCATTAAAACATCCAGTCTTAATCTTAAAACTTCTTGCTAGAAGAATCTACCTTAAACTTGTTGTACCAGTGTCATTGGGAGGTAGCCCAATTTCTCCAATTTGATATTCTCATTTATTCACCGAGGGTCTACATAAGCCATTTTGATCCTAACATTGTCCGCAAACTCATTCAGCTGATTAGTACCTATGTTGATTATGGAATTGTTTCCAAAGTTCCATCTAAGCATAATCAGGATTTTTTCAGGCCAAGACTGAGTGGCTTGATGACTTGCCTTTATTGAAAAAACACTGTTTGCTCATGCCCCTTTTCCTAACTGATCCAGACCATTCCATATCACTGAACTCTTTGCTATTTATTGAATCTCAAGTTTTTTGCAAACTTCTGCAGTTATGACTTTGTGGTGGTTTTTTAGACCATTCATTAAAAAAAAAGGTTAAATGACAGAATCCAGAACAAATTTCTGTAAAACTACTAGAAACAGACCAACATGCTTGGTATTTACTCACCTACATCTGTGTTTTGATACCCATAATGCAGGTTTTAAAGTCCATTTAATAACGTTTGGAATGGTGACTTTGCATTATTTCACTTTTTCTAGTTCACATAAAACTATATCAACAATTACAATTCTGAATCCAGGGCAAAAAGATCTACTTGTATGCTTATCTCTGTAATATTGTTATGAAAATATTTTACATCAGCATTTTTCCATAAACGGGATAAAGATACATTTTTACCGTGAACAGGAGATGCTTCCTCAGCAAACAGATAAGGTTCAAGATTCTTCAGAGAACTTCTGCCCTCAAGTCGTGCAAGTAGCTTTTAAGGAAAATACAGAAGAGACATGCTGTTAACTCAAAATAATGGACCTTGGGAATCAAATTTAAAGGATTCTGAGAACTGGGAGTTTTCCATGACAGCCCTATGAAAAGATTAGTCTGATTTCTAAAATGTTTTCATAAATACATATGGAAACCTATAGTCTGGACTACAGCAACAGAAGGTTCCATCCTTACAAACAATTAGCACACAGATTCAATGGCAGTAAAGAATAGATATACATTAGGGGAAATAAAGCTTAAAAAAAAAGAAAAAGCTGCATAGGTAGACTAGCAAGAGGGATCGCCTCTGGTATACAGCAGTGCTGCCAGAACATTGACAGAACAAAGGGAAAGAAGATAATTTGTAATAACCATCACTGCCACAACAAACTACTGGTTGAGAGGTGAAACATTACCCATCATTAGTCTCCTGAGTCAGTTCCTCTGAGCATTTATAAGTAAAAACATGTACATTTCATCTGAAAAGTTATATAGGACTCTTCTGGACTACAATCCCATTATATCATAGTTACTTTTCAAACAGACTATGGATTAAGAATGATCAAAAAGTAATTAGCCACCAGTGGCTCTGCAAAAACCTTTCTAAAGCAAGCTCGAATTTGTAAAGCAAGTTCCTCCAAAGCCCTTTGTAAAGCAACTCCATTGTAAAACAAATTAGTCCAAAGTTCATGGACAATTTCTTAAATTGACAGGTATTTGCATAGCAAGTAGACAGGTATTCACGTAACTTGTGTTATTTGTAGTTCTGGCACACATTTGTAAACCAAGAATGAACATTTCACCCAGTGCTGGAACTGTTATTTGCTATGTGTATTAACATACATGGGAAAGGACACTATCAAGGTGCTCAGAGCATTGCCAGAACACGTACCCTCGTGCCAAATATTTCATTCTCCAAGACACCCAGCTGTCATTTAACGAGCTAAAAAAACCAAATCACTATGAATACCGATACATACATGAATACATAGTTTTACCCCATCCTCCGTAAAGCCAGTCACCAAACGAGCAGCAAGCACACACCTTTAAACATATACTGCCTTATCTTGCCTTTCCTCCCTGCCACATCAATGAGCAACATTTGCTCTGAATTTTCTTAAAAGTTGTTTAAACAGTTGTGTGTGTGTGTTTGCCTTTAATAGTAGAATAAAACTCCATTAAATAGCCCTGAATTTACTTCAAGTGGTCACGATGGGAATCTAAGCGTGACATTTTCATTGACATTTTAACATTCCCTTCCATTAACAAAATGTCAATGTGTTTGCCTTTGTTTGCCTGTTCACATGTATTCAGGAGAGTTTTCCAACACGTCCACAACCATAAAAACACGTGAATTGACCTTGCTCTGGATCTGCAGATCCTCCCATTATGTTTCACACATTTGCGCAGTGCAGAAAACACTCACACGGGGAACTCTTGCATATTTTGGGTATCAGTAGGGTTCTGTAAACTGGACAAAGCAAAAATCCAGATGGACATACATACACAGGAATACAGGAGCATATCTCCGGGCACATAAGCCAGGAGCTTGCAACTACAAAGAGGGCCATCGCAGACCCTACACGTGCAGCCCTTCCGTGCAAGGGGCTGCCTACACCTGGCCCTGGCCCTGGCCCCTGGCGAGGAGAGGAGAGGCTGCACCCACTGTGGAGAAAGGCCGGGGATCTTTCACCCCCTTGTCCGGCAGTGGAAGTCAAGAGAAACAGGAAAACCACCACAGGCTGCTGCTTTCTGATGCTTTTCACTTCTTAGCAAAGGAAGCACCGCTCTGGCACTCAGCGATCACCGGAGCTTGATTATAGGCACTGCTGGGGCCGGGACTCACAACTACTGCTGGTCTAAACACACTTCTGCAGCCTCCTGTTCTCGAATTTATTTGTACGCTAATGAATACATCCTCTACAGTTTATTTCTTCTGGAAAGGATGAGCTCCTGTATCTTCTTAGGCTATCACCTCTTTAAGCTTACTGCTACAGCTTTGGAAATACGCAGTGGATTGATCGCTATCGTTTAAATATGATTCTGCGGTTATTTAAATGACAAGTTTATATATTCATTTTAAATAACTACAGGTGCTTACTCTGAGCACTGCTCATGTAGGTAATTTATGGTAATTTGCTGATGATAGCACACCTGTGTTTTTATCAAACTTGTATTTACTTCCGAGTTCTGAAGCAGAATCTCCAAAGGCACTTGCCTCATTAGTGTCACGCTGGGAGCAACGGGGTTCCTGGCAGAAACAGCTAACAATTTTCCCTCATATCTAACAAAGGTTTGTCCACACTACAGCAGAAGTGACAGAAGCAAAGCTGAGATGAGACACCAGACAGGCATCCCTCACCTCTGCCAATATGAAAGACAGGGACAACGCGGGTTTTTCCAAATGGGCAAAAGCCACCTTGGCCCTCTTCCAGGGGAAGCATTTCCATTTTGCCTTCTAACATTTTCTTCTGTAAAATGGGGCGGCGGGGGCGGGGGGGCAGGGAATCTACAGCATTTAAAGGGTGATCTGGATGGTGGACATCAGGCGTCCCAGGCTTTGTCATGGACAGTGTACAGAAGACAGCAGCACAGCACTGCTGAAAAGAGCCTTTGAGTGTGAAGAGCTTGGAAAGAAAAAAAAAAAATCAAAACAATTCCAAATCACATATTGGAGACTTCAGACTCTATAGTTTAACTGTAGATGCTAGTTTCTTCGTTCATAATGCTCTTTTTATCTTTTACACAAAATACCACCTTTTAGCAACCTGCTAGCGGTAGGTCTTTGCTCTTAGGTGTTCTTCACAAGTATAATTATGCTAGCAAGAAACTGCACATATGTGCAGTTACGTGTAGAAAACAAGCTATACAGCAAGAGTCAGGCAACAGTTGGGTTCAATTTCATTAATGACAAGGCTGATGGGACTCAAATATTTCAACTATGTCTTTTATAATTTATCAATTTCATCTTTTTAATAAAGAAATATGCATATGGACAGTCCCACTGACTAATACATTATATGCTTATACTATATTGGTTTCAGTAAAGCTATGCATAAATGTAAGCATACATGTACGTCTTGTCAGGAATGAGATATTACTTCATTAAAATGTTAAAGAAATTCAAATTAAATAAAGCTCTGTTAGAGGCTGTGAGCTAACCTACAGGCTATTTACACATACAAACCTATCTCGAGTATGAGACAAAATTTAATTTTCAACCACTATAACCGCTCTGACTGAGCTTTTGTAAACTTTGGGCATGAAGACATATGCAAGCAATTTATCATTTATTTTATTGTGATATACCAGAGGTGTTTAGTGAGAAGCTCTAATTTGTTGTATTAATTATATTCAATAATAAGAGTACAAGACTGCGGTCTCAGTCTAACTCTCAGTAAAACCTGATCTTACGCATGAGGCTATTTGAGGAGGTATTGTTTTAAATTAAGTATTGTCTGTTTCAAGGGCTTTTACCATTTTTTCTGGATGATGTACTCATACATTAACCTTTTTTAACCCATCAGTTATCAATTCCTCCCTCATTCAGGTTTGGTTATCCCTTCCATCATGGGCAGTTGCTGCCATGTGCATTCCTTGTTGTGCACCGCTCATGTGGACAAATAAATGCATTTACTCACGTGGACACAGAGCACAACTCATGTCCTTAATATGTATATATTTGCCGACAGTGGACAGCTGTTACTATTTTTTTTAAGTGTCAAAAGGGCTTAAGAACTCAAGTCCCACTGAAAAAACACGGAGCTTTAACAAGAAACATTATCACGTTTCTATGCTTTTATGTGCACTACTCGGCATATTCTGATACAGTAACATACAAACCTCCCAAGTAATTAACTTGCTGACTGCAAGGACAAGTCACTAACAAATAAACCACCCAGCAGAGAAAAAAAAGACCGACCAACCAACAAAACCCCCAAACTCAAAACCCTTTTTCTGCAAAGAACAGGAAAGCAACTTCACCTTCCATACTGTTTATTTAAACCAACCCTTCCTCACAGCTCTTCTTCCCTACCGCATCCACTCCAACATAGCGAAGAAAACACTGATAAAGGAATTACTGCCAACACCTGAATAACTCCCCCCCCGCCCCGCGCTGCAAGAAAGCCCCATGGCAGGCATTCAACCCGAGTCCCAGAGCCGCAGCCGGGCACACAAAGGCAGGACACAGACCCACGCCACCCTTATCCTAGCCGAAGCCAGCTCCCTCAGCCAGCCACCCGCCGACAAAACCCTCCAGCAACACCGAAGTGTTTCAGGGCGAACCAACACCCCCGGGCGGTGCTTCCCGCCCTCCGCCCCCGCAGCTCCCCTCAGCGTGAGGCGATCCCTCGGGGGGGTGCCTTCCCGCAGCGCCGGGCTGACGGAGCCCCGCTCCCCGCCCTCACACAGAGGACGAGGAGGAGGAGGAGGAAGCAACGGGAGGGGGAAGGGCGGCGGAGGCGGGAGGGCGCGGCTCTGCGGCGCGGCTCCCCCCCCCCTTCCTCTCACACAACGTCCCTCCGGGAGGCTCCGCGGGCGCCGGGCGC